TATTGGCCATTTGTATGGTTTTTTTTTTAAGATTTTTCTTTTATCAGAGTACATATACATGCTCTCTTAAGTAAATAAATCTTTAAAATTCCACCATGTTCTCTGAATTCCCATTTTACTTTCATGTCAACACTTGAGGGCTTTTATTTATTTATTTTTTAAAGATTTTATTTATTCATGAGAGACACAGACAGGCAGAGACACAGGCAGAGGGAGGAGCAGGCTTCATGCATGGAGCCTGACGTGGGACTCGATCCTGGGTCTCCAGGATCACGCCCTGGACTGAAGGCGGTGCTAAACCGCTGAGCCACCCGGGCTGCCCCACTTGAGGGCTTTTAAAGGTTTCTTTGAAAATATGTCATTCAGGGACGCCTGAATAGCTCAGTCAGTTAATCATCCACCTTTGGTGCAAGTCATGGTCCCAGCTTAGCAGGGAGGCTGCCTCTCTCACTCCCTCCTGCTCATACTCTCTTTCTTGCTATCACACTGTCAAGTAAATTTTTTTAAAGTCATCTAACACCTTAATTTTTATTTTTTTAGATTAATTTATTTCAGAGAAAATATGCAAGTATAGGGAGGGGCAGAGGGAAAGGAGAAGCAGACTCCTTGCTGAGCAGAGAGCCTGACGTGGAGCTCACTCTCTACCTTGAGATCTTGACCTAAGCCAAAACCAAAAGTTGGCCACTAAACCAACTCAGCCACCCATGCACCCCTCCTCCAGCATTTTTTAGTGTTCATTGGAAAGACTGGTATCAATCCTGATTAAGTTGTAAAATTTAATAAAATTCCAGTCAGACTATTATGGACAAAAAGTTTATATGAAGAGGTGCCTGGGTAGCTTAGTCAATTAAGCATCCAACTCTAGATTTTGGCTCAGGCTATGATGTTCATGGTAGGATCAAGCCCCATGTTGGGCTCCAGGCTTAGGGCAGAGTCTGCTTGAGATTCTCTCTCTGCCCCTACCTCTGCTCGTGTTCTCTCTCTTTCTCTCTGTCCCCCCCAAAATCCTTAAAGTTAGTATGAAGAATATATGAAGATTTTCACTGCCCCTGCCCCAAAGAAAGAAACCAGGAGGTGGGAGTTGTACTACTAAGTATTAAAACTAAAAAAAAAAAAAAAAAAAAAAAACTTACTGAAAAGCTACTGTAATCAAAACAATAAGATACTGTGCTGAAATATTTAACAATGAATGATCACGATGTTTGTAACTTACATTTGGATTTTTTTTTAGGTACTTATCTATTGGGGTGCATGGGTGGCTCAGTTGAGCGGCTGCCATCCTCTCAGGTCATGGTCTCAGAGTCCTAGGATTGAGCTCCGCATTGGGCTCCCTGCTCAGCAGGGAGTCTGTTTCTCTTCCTCTGTCCCTCTCCCTGCTCTAGCTCTTGCTCTCATTCTCTTTCAAATAAATAAAACCTTAAAAAGAAAATTTTAAAAATAATAAAAATAAAAAAATTTTTAAAGAAAATAAAGATTTATTTATTTTAGAAAGAGAACAAGAGCGTGGATAGAGAGAGGGAGGACAGAGGGTGAGAAAGAATTTCAAGCAGACTCCGTGCTAAGCTCAGAGCCTGACGGGGACCAAACTCTTTGACCCCCCAAGGTCATAACTGTAGCTGAAATTGAGTCGGGTGCCCAACCACCTAAGCCCCTGCAACTTAGGTTTAAGCAAAAGAAAAATTCTGTAAAGAAAACGACCGGGGATCCCTGGGTGGCGCAGCGGTTTAGCGCCTGCCTTTGGCCCAGGGCGCGATCCTGGAGGCCCAGGATCGAATCCCACGTCGGGCTTCTGGTGCATGGAGCCTGCTTCTCCCTCTGCCTATGTCTCTGCCTCTCTCTCTCTCTCTCTCTCTCTCTCTCTCTCTGTGTGTGTGACTATCATAAATAAATTAAAAAAAAATTAAAAAAAAAAGAAAATGACCATTGGCAGTTGGTGAATGTAGACGAAAGGTACAAAGCATTCATTGTACTATGGCTTAAAATTCTCAAGGTAGTTGAAGATAAAGCAGTATACATTTTACAATTACAGAATAAATATTCTAGAAACATAGTACAAGTGGGAATTTAATTATAAATATGGGGAATAAGCCTTGGTTAAATAATGGTGTGTGATGTATTCATGGGAAAATATAGATCCTTAACACCATACTTAGTCTCATGCGAATTAAAGATTTAAATGTAAAAAAAAAAAGTGAAACTAACGAGATAAAATATAAAAATAAAACCTCAGAGTAGGAAAAGACTTCCTAAGCAAGTAAGCAAATCCCAGAGGGTGTAAAGGAAAAAACAGTGAGATTCTACTTTGAGTCTGATTGCAAAACTGAAATATATTAGTTGCATGTAAACAAACAAAATGAGAAAAAGAACAATGAGTTGTAATAAATGTGAAAAGTTCAAAAAAATAAAAAATAAAATAAAATATATTAGTTATGTCCAGAACTGTTAAGGATAGAGAAGTGGGAGCACTCAGTGTATTTCAAGATTGTACATTACCACATTTGGGCTAATAATCAGTCTTAAAGTTACAAATGCTCATGGCTTTTGGCTTTTGACTCCTATTCCCACTTAAAGTGTATTATACAGATAGCATAAATAGAAAAGGATATGTGTGCAAGGGTGATCAGAGTAGGATTGTTTGTAACAACAACAAAAAGCTGGGAATGTAGATGTGCATCGGAGGGGAGAAGTAGTTAAGTAATTATTAGTAATTATTAGTGCTGCTTCATCCATTAAAAAGTGAGATATAAACACCTGGGTGGCTCAGTGGTTGAGCATCTGCCTTTGGCTCTGGTTGGGATCGAGTCCCACATCAGGCTCCCTGCATGGAGCCTGCTTCTCTCTCTGCCTGTGTCTCTGCCTCTCTGTGTGTTTCTCATTAATAAATAAATAAAATCTTAAAAAAAAAGTGAGGTATACCTGTACATGTTGACTAGTATGGATCTTTATTTACAGCATGATTCTTTTTATTTATTTATTTATTTATTTATTTTTTATTTATGATAGTCACAGAGAGAGAGAGAGAGAGGCAGAGACATAGGCAGAGGAAGAAGCAGGCTCCATGCACCGGGAGCCTGATGTGGGATTCGATCCCGGGCCTCCAGGATCGCGCCCCGGGCCTCCAGGATCGCGCCCCGGGCCAAAGGCAGGTGCCAAACCACTGCGCCACCCAGGGATCCTACAGCATGATTCTATTAAAATATAAAAATCCTCTGTGTCTGTTTCTATAAGCAAAAAGATATGAAAGGATACATACTAAGCTCTTAACACTGATTGCCTCTGGATAGGAGTGGAGATGGAGAGGAAAAAATGTATATTTGTTAGACCTGGGGTTTTGGTTTGGTTTGGTTTGGTTTTCTTTTGTTTTGTTTTGAAGTAGGCTCCACACTGGATATAGAGTCCAATACAGGGCTTGAACTCACGACTCTGAGATCAAGACCTGAGCTGAGAATAAGTGTTGGACAGTTAACCCAATGAGCCATCCAGGTGCCCAGTATTAGACCTGTTTTGTACGTCTACCTTGTATTTGTTTCTTCTCTAAATAGTGTATGGTTTATATATACATTCTTTCACTTTGATGGTTTCTTTTCCAACAAAATTTCCTGTATACGAACACCTGCTGTCTAAACATTTTGTAATGGGCCAGCCCCGGTGGCGCAGCGGTTTAATGCCGCCTACAGCCCGGAGTGTGATCCTGGAGACGAGGGATAGAGTCCCGCGTTGGGCTACCTGCATGGAGCCTGCGTCTCCCTCTGCCTGTGTCTCTTCCTCTATCTCTCTCTCTGTGTCTCTATGAATGAATGAATGAATAAATAATTAAATATCTTTAAAAAATGAAAATTTTTTAATGATTCTTGAAAACAAAGCAAGTATAAGGTGATACACTACTGTTTTTACTATTTTGTGGTTTTCATTTAGGGAAATCTTATTACAAACAACTACTAGATATATTAAACTAGTTCTGAGTTAGTATTACTGTTTTTTTTAAGGTTTATTTTTTTATTTATTTAATTTATTTATTTATTTTTAAGATTTTACTTATTTATTCATGATAGACATAGACAGAGACACAGGCAGAGGGAGAAGCAGGCTCCATGCCGGGAGCCCGACGCAGGACTCGATCCCGGGACTCCAGGATCATGCCCTGGGCCAAAGGCAGGCACTAAACTGCTGAGCCACCCAGGGATCCCCAAGAGTTATTTTAGAGAGTGAGAGAGGGTAAGTAGAGGGAGGGGCAGAGGGAGAGGAAGAAAGAGAATCCTCAAGCAGACTCCCAGCTGAGCATGTGTCATAACCTGAGCCAAAACCAACAGTCAGCCACTTAACCACTCAGGCACCCCAGGATATTATTTTAAAAATTGTTTGCATGAGGGGCACCTGGCTGGCTTAGTTGATAGAGCATATGACTCTTAATCTCGAAGTCCTGAGTTCAAGAATAATAAATCTTTGCGTGAGATTAAGGATGAAAATTATAATTTCTCAAATTATAATTTTTGAGTTATTTTCTGATAATTTGAGAATTTTATAGCATGATCATGGTTTTGAAGTAAATAGTGAACTTTTAAAAATTGGGAAATTACTGGCTTTCTTAGTTCATTTCCACCAGTTTTGTTTTTAAGATCTTATTTATTTCTTAAGATTGATTGATTGGAGAGACAGCTAGGGTGTGCTTGTGGGAGGAGTCTTCAAGCCCCACTCCCTGCTGAACCTGGAGCCCCACACAAGGCTCCATCCCATTACTCATGAAATCTTGACCTGAGCTGAAACCAAGAGTCTGACATCTAACCAACTGAGCCACCCAGGCACACCTAAGATTTTATTTTTAAGTAAACTCTGCACCCAACATGGGGCTCAAATTTATAACCCTAAGATTGAGAGTTTCACCCTCCACTGACTGAGCCAGCCAGGTGCCCCATCTCTGCCAGTTTTAAAGGGTCTGATTGAACCTAGCAACAGATCGGTATGATTTAGTTCCCAGTTGTGTTATTTTTATTTTTTTAAAGATCTTATTTATTCACGAGAGAGACAGAGAGAGGCAGAGCAGGCTCCATGCAAGGAGCCCCTCGTGGTACTCTATCCTGGGACTGCGGGATCACGCCCCAAGCTGAAGGCAGACACGCTCAACCGCTGAGCCACCTAGGTGTCCTTCCAGTTGTGTGATTTGTCAAGTCATAATCTGCTTTGTGTTCTCAGACATCACTCAAGCAAATCAGGTACTTCTCTTTTATTTCCAGCATTTCTTATATGTTTTTGTTTTGTTTTAAAGAAAAACTTTTTCCTAGTTAGAGAAGCTGGGAGCTCGCAGACTCTTTGGAATCTTGAAGCTGCTGCTTTCTGGCTGCCTCCAGATAGGATGATGATAGGCCCCAGCTATATACCCTTTACTGTATATTTTTAAGGTTATATTTGGGATGCCTGGGTGAATCAGCGATTGAGTGTTTGCCTTCAGCTCAGGGCTTGATCCCCGGATCTGGAATCGAGTCCCATATGGGGCTCCTTGCAGGAAGCCTGCTTCTCCCTCTGCCTATGTCTCTGCCTCACTCTGTCTTTCTCTGTCTCTCATGAATAAATAAAAATGTTTTTTAAAAAGTTATTTCCCTAGTAATCACCTTAGTTTGTGACATCAAGCTTAAATTAATACCAGTTTAGTTTCAGGAGTACACAAAAACTTAGCTCCTTTATAGCACTGTACACCCCTCATGTTATTGTCAAAAATTATACATTGTGTGCCCATTAACATGCATAATAATTACTGTTTTATGCATTTGTCTTTTAAGAGAAAAGGGAGTTAAAAGCCAAAAATACATTATTACTAATTTCTGTATTTGTGTCGTTACCTTTTTCATTGTTCTTTATTTCTTCAGACGGATTCAGGTTAATATTGCTGTGTCCTTGTTTTATTTAGCCTGAAGGACTCAGGCTTATAGGACAGGTGTACCGGTAATGTGTGCTTTCTCCGCCCCCCCCCCCCTTTTTTTTAAAGACTATTTATTCATGAGAGAGAGAAGCAGACACAGGCAGAGGGAGAAGCAGGCTCCATGCAGGGAGCCCAATGTGGGACTCAGTCCCGGAACTCTGGGATCATTCCCTGGGCCAAAGGCAGCACTAAACTGCTGAGCCACCCAGGGTTCTCCACCCTCCACCCCCCCGCTTTTTATTAAAGATTTTACATATTTATTTGAGAGCATGAGTCGGGAGGGGAGGCACGGCAAAGGGGGGGTCAACAGACTCCTTGCTGAGCAGGGACCCCTTCTCCCCACATGGGGCTGGATCCCAGGACCCTGACATTGTGACCTGAGCCGAAGGCAAATGCTAACCCACTAAGCCAGTGAGGTGCCCCTCTCATTTTTTAAATTTATCTGGAGATGTCTTAATTTCTGCTTAATTTTTGAAAAATAGTTTTGTTTTGAATGTCTTTCAGCACTTTGTCTTCTGACCTCTGTGGTTTCTGATGTGAAATCAACTGTTAATCTTATTTTGGAGATTTCGAAGTGTCGCTTCCTTTTGTCTTTCAATAATTTCATTATAATATGCCTTGATGTGGATCACTTTGAGTTTATCTTAGTTGGAGTTTGTTGAACTTCTTGGATGTGTAGAGTAACACATACAGATTTCATCAAATTGGAGGAGTTTGGGGCTGTTGGGTTTTTTTGGCTTTTGGGTTTATTTTTTTTTTAGGATTTTTTTTCTATTTTTTAAAATTTTACTTATCAGGGGAAGAGGGGCAGAGGGAAAGAGAATCTGAAGTCTGATGAGCCACCCAGGCACCCCTAAGATTTATTTTTAAGCAGTCTCTACACCCAACATGCGGCTCGAATTCACAACCCTGAGATCAAGAGTCACATGCTCTACTGACTGAGCCAGCCAAGTGCCCCAAGGAGCCATGTCTTCTGGCCCTTTGTCTTCTCCTTCCAAGATTTTCATTATGTGTATGTTGTTACATTGGATGATTTCCCATTGGTCTCTAAGGTTCTTTTTTTTTTCTTCATTGTTTTCTTTCTTTCCTCAAGCTCAACAACCTCAATTGACTTAATCTTCAAGTTTGCTGATTTCTTTTTCCTCCTTTTTTTTTTAAATTTTTTTATTTATGATAGTTACACACACAGAGAGAGAGAGAGAGGCAGAGACATAGGCAGAGGGAGAAGCAGGCTCCATGCACTGGGAGCCCTATGTGGAATTCGATCCTGGGTCTCCAGGATCGCGCCCTGGGCCAAAGGCAGGCGCCAAACCGCTGCGCCACCCAGGGTTCCCTCTTTTTCCTCCTTGAGCAAATTTGTTGTAATCCATCTAGTAAATTTTCCATTTCGGTTATTGTACTTTTCAACTGAGAAATTCTTTGTTGTTGTTTTTTATAATTCCTCTGTATTAGTATGCTCTATTTGATGAGACCTCATTTTTATGGCTTTTTGTACCTAATTTAAAGTTTAAAAAGTCCAGTTATTAAAGCTACAAGGAGCACATAGGTGGCGCAGTTGGTTAAATGTCCATTTCTTGGTTGTCCTGGGATGGAGCCCCATTGGTCAGGCTCAGCACAGAATTTACTTAAGGCTCTCTTTCCCTTTCCCCTCCCCACTGCGCATGTGCTCTCTCACTTGTGCACTCTCTCTTTCTCTAAAATAAATCTTAAAAAAAAAAGAAGAGTCATGTGCTCTACAGACTGAGCCAGCCAAGTGACCCCATACCCAATTTTTTAAAAACAGGAGGACACACAGAAGATGAAATATAAAGAGTGTGGTCCAAAAAGGGTCAAGAATAAGAAAATTAAAAATTTAATACATTGCATTAGAACACCTTGTGTTCAATGATTGTAGGTCTATCAGAGTTTTGAAAGTAAGTGATCCTTATCACCCTGATTTTCACTTTGCTTGGCTGTAGACAGAAATGTGGTCTGGTAAGGAGTTGTTCCTTCCCTTGGCTCTCTAAGGTATATGGTCAGTGTCCAGGTTTCAGTTCTTTTTTCTTGATTTCAGTTATGATTTGTTTTCCAAATATTGCTTGATAAGGTAATTTTACCTATGGTCCTTTATGGACTCTTTCACTAGGATCTATACCAAAGCCACAACTTGTTTGATAAGGGGATAATGCGCAGAAAGCTGACTTACGCCTTGTCAAACAGAGATTAGGCCCTTTTTTTCTAAACTCTGTTTATATTCTGTTAATGGTTGGCATCAAACAAAGGGGGAAGGGAATCCCCTGGGATTCTCAAACTATAGAATTTGCTGAGGCAGATTTTTCTTGTTTACACAAGGCTTGTGCTCATAAATTATATGGAAAATTATTTTTCTTTAAAAACATAGTTTGCACTTCTGTGTAGATGTACGTTCAGTCACTGAGGCTTATTTCAAAACAAGTTAGAAGTACTTCTAAATGGACGTGTCTCAAACATATGGTTGCTACTTAACTACACAATTCCATTTGAATATTGAATATCCCATAGTCTGGTAAATTTTTTTTTTTTTAAGCTATAAGTCTCTTGTTAATATTGTGGTCTTCTGAAAGGAAGTATTTAAGGGGTATAAGTTGGGATAGGATACATGTTGGGAACATAACAAAAGCTGTTATTAATTGCAGTGTCTTTGAACCTGCTGATCAGCTCATGCAAAGTAAACAGTTCATTCAGTGCAAAACAGGATTGACTCCTGCTTTTCATAATATTTGAGGCTAATCTAAAATGTAATGCCTAACATAGGAGAATGAGTAATTTTCTTCAGAGGAACTGATTGCTCTTTAGTAAGAACTTGTTATCAAAATAAAGGATTTTATTTCATACAAGATTAATGATAAATAAATCAAAGATATCCATTGTCTGTTTTCTGTCCTGCTTTTATAGTGCCACTTTTTCTTAACCCAAGTCATGTTTTCATCCTACCCACTCATAAATCTCAGTCTGTCTCTGCCTCTCTTTCACATGTATACAATAATAAGTAGAGCAGAAGTTGAGTAATTTTTAGCTGAGGACCTCTTACCTAAAAATGTCACTGCCATGATGGTATTGTCAGTAGTGTTCAGGATTTCAGAATATGCGAGTGTGTGTTAGGCTAGAAGCCACCCCCCTCCACTCCCACCTTAAACTAAATTCACATTATATGAACAGAATGAGGTTATATTTTACATACTTTTAAGGATAAGTCCATAAAATGAATCCCAGGAGGGGTAACTGACTGGCTGAGTCAGTAAGCTCTTACTGCTCTTACTAGTCAGTAAGCTCTTACTCAAACTCTGACTCTTGATCTCAGGGTTGTGAGTTACATCCCTACGTTGGGCTTGGAGCCTACTTGAAAAAAAAAATCTAAAGGACCAGCAGTACACATAGGGCTGGTGCTTTCTGAACCTTAAACCCAAGGGAAAAACTACTTGTAGTAGGAGGTTTTAGTTTTAGTGTTTTACTTCATTATGGTAACTTTGGAGTAAAAAGGCCTGAAGTTTGTTTTTGTTTGGAGGGTGGAGGAGAAGGGGAGAGAGAGAGAGAGAAGCTTAAGCAGGCTCCACACCCAGGACAGAGACCAACTTGGGGCTCAATATCATGACCCTGAAATCATTACCTAAGCCAAAATCAAGAGTTGGACACTTAACCAAGTGAGCCAACCAGGTGCCCCAAACCTGAAGATTTCAAAACTCTGTTCTCATATTAGGTATGCTGATTTCTCCCTTTGGCGCAAGTCACTCTGCTGTTTGATTTTATGTACAAGTGACTCCTATTATATGTAAATATAATTTTAGGAATTTCATACTTAATGAATTAGTAGAATATTGTAGAATCTAAACCTTATGCTTCAGACTTTGAGCCAGCAATGTATCAGCTGGGTTAGACCATGTCATCACCTATTGAGTAGTATATAAGAAACCAGACCTACTATATTTAGATACTGCTCTGCTTTTACTCACATAAAAAGAGATTAAGTGCTTGAGCTAGTTGGAGTTTGGTAGTCATTTGTGGGTACGGATTTGCTAATGCCTGGAAGATGAGTGAGCCTATAGCCCAGGTAAGGAGGAAGTTACAGGTCTTTAGGTCAATTGATGCCCCAGATTTCAAGGCTAAGAGAGGAAGACTGCTTCTGATTCCTGCAGGAAGAGGAAGCAGGAGAAAAATCCAAACATGGAAAATGTTCCCCATGAAAGTAAAGAAGAAGAGCTTACTCCAGTGCAGAATGAAAAAACCTACCCCTTTGGGAGGTGGTAAAGGCCAAGAGCCTGGAGGAAATATTAGAGTGGATTGCGCCCTACCTGCCCATGATGTTAGGATATGTCCAATAGGCTTGTCACTAACCTTGACGTGATAGATGGAGATGCTGATGATATGGAATGGTTCATAGAGAAGAGAGCATTAAGGAGGAAAATTAGGAAGCTTCATATGAGGTATAGCTTTCACATTGTTTAAGATTTTATTTATTCATGAGAGACACAGAATGGCAGAGACACAGGCAGAAGGAGAAGCAGGCTCCATGCAGGAAGCCCAATATGGGACTCGATCCCGGGATCATGCCCTGGGCCAAAGGCAGGTGCCAAACCGCTGAGCCACCCAGGGATTCCCTTACATTTTTTTTAAAGATTTTATTTATTTATTCATGAGAGAGAGGCAGAGACACAGGCAGAGGGAGAAGCAGACTCCTGTGGGAAGTCCAATGTGGGACTCAATCCTGGAACTCTGGGATCATGCCCTGAGCTGAAGGCAGATGCTCAACTGCAGAGCCACCCGGGCGTCCCTAGTTTTCACTTTTTTTTTTTTTCTTAGTTTTCACATTCTTAGAGGAGATCCCTCCTCACCATGACAGTCATGATGAGTTTTACCTTGAATGCTGTCCCTACTTCCCAAAGTTGCATTTTCTTAATGTACCCTCTACTGTGAACCTGAGATGTTAATGTCATTTTTCTTATTGGAGATTTCATTTGGACTTAGTCTAGAAGTTTTTCTGTCAGCAGGGTAGTTTGATCAACTTGGATGGAAAGATATTGATTATATACTGTGAATGAAATAAAACAATTTAAAAAGCAGTCTGGAGATACACTATCTCATTTAAAAGCATGCATATTACGTAGATTAGATGCCTGAAATTCATTGTATAGTGGACAAATCCAGACATGGAACTTGACATGGACCCAGATTGAAAGCAAATAGAGACTGTGCTATGAGGTCAAAAGATCTGAGGGGTTATTAAGAAGTCTGTTTTCATTTGTAGTCTCTGGGCTTTTTAGTACCAGTACCAGTTTTTAAAAGTAGAATTTTGCTTTTCATAAAGTCACTTGATGACTTAAGTCTTCCAGACCATGCTTGTTTTATAAAGCAAGGCATAGGGAGTATTTTATTTTATTTTATTTTTATTTATGAGAGAGAGAGAGAGAGAGAGAGAGGCAGAGACACAGGAGGAGGAAGAAGCGGGCTCCATGCTGGGAGCCCGACGTGGGACTCGATCCGGGACTCCAGGATCCTGCCCTGGGCCAAAGGCAGGCGCCAAACCGCAGAGCCACCCAAGGATCCCCATAGGGAGTATTTTAAACATCAGATGATTTAGGAATTCCATTCAAGCAGTTGATTACCATCATTGACTGTTATCAGAAAACATCACTAAATGAATCTAGGCTGTTCTTGGCTATTTCTTAAACATGAAGATCATTTGAGAAAGAAACAAACTTTCCAATTGCTTGATTTCTCATGTTCATTAATATATCATGTGTAACTGGTACCTAATCATGATGCCTAGTGGTATTAGGTGCTAAGAACTGAAAGAATGACTGACAAAATATACTATTCTTCTTTTAAGGTTAAAAACGACAACTAACGCCAACCATGAAAGATCCAAGTCGCAGCAGTACCAGCCCAAGCATCATCAATGAAGATGTGATTATTAATGGTCATTCTCATGAAGATGACAATCCATTTGCAGAGTACATGTGGATGGAAAATGAAGAAGAATTCAACAGACAAGTTAGTTTTTGTTTTTTTTTTTTTTAATTTATGATAGTTACAGAGAGAGAGAGAGAGAGAGAGAGAGGCAGAGACACAGGCAGAGGGAGAAGCAGGCTCCATGCACTGGGAGCCCGATGTGGGATTCGATCCCGGGTCTCCAGGATCGCGCCCTGGGCCAAAGGCAGGCACCAAACCGCTGCGCCACCCAGGGATCCCCGACAAGATCATGTTTGTATACAAAACTAACTTGTCGGGGGATCCCTGGGTGGCGCAGCGGTTTGGTGCCTGCCTTTGGCCCAGGGCGCGATCCTGGAGACCCGGGATCGAATCCCACATCGGGCTCCCAGTGCATGGAGCCTGCTTCTCCCTCTGCCTGTGTCTCTGCCTCTCTCTCTCTCTCTCTCTCTCTCTGTGACTATCATAAATAAATAAATAAATAAATAAATAAATAAATAAATAAATAAATAAATAAATAAATAACAAAAAAAAAAAAAAACATGATCTTTCTCATAGCCCCTGACAGCCCTCAGTGTAATTGTACTTATCCCTGAAATGTGTTTATCTGGTCCCTTATATGTGAAATATATGGATTTATGTGCCACCACTCCTATTTTATTTGTATACTGATTACAACCAAGTTTGTATGCTCACTGAAATAACTAACCTTAAAGAGCTTTTTTTCACGGTCCCTCCCCAGATATTCTCATTCAGGAAGACTAGGGTGGAGCTGGGGAAACTTGTTTTTTAAAAGCCCCTAGATCGGGGGTCCCTGCCTGGCTCAGTTGGTGGAGTAGGTCACTTTTGATCTCAGGTTTGTGAGTTCAAGCCCATGTTGAGTGTAGAGATTACTTTAAAATAAAACCATTAAAAAAAAAAAAAAAAAAAAACCTTCCCAAATGGTTCCAGTGTGCAGTTAGGTTTAGAAACTACTGCTTGCACCAATCAGATTGCTCTTAAGAGAATATAAGTTTAGGAGCAGACAGACATAGGTGTACTAGGGTATAGAATTGTGCTGTTTTCACCTGAGGTTCTCAATCTGATAAGCCTGAAAACCTGACACCACTGTTCTCTTTAGAGAATGCTCATACGTTGATGAATGTTGTCTTTTATTGCCATATTTCTGTCATCTGTTTCCATCTTGTGTCCAGTTTCTCTCTGATCATGGCTTTGGTAATCAGTAGCCAATTTGATTTTGCCATATCCAGTGATGGATATTCAAGAATAAAACAATGTAGTCTTATTTCAAATGAGAATGATTTGGGCTGTTTTGGGTTTATTTTTTAATTTTTTTTTAAGATTTTATGTATTTATTCATGAGAGAGAGGGGCAAAGAAGCAGGCTCCCCGCAGGGATACCAATGTGAGACTCGATCCCAGGACCCCAGGATCATGACCTGAGCCAAAGGCAGACGCTCAACCACTGAGCCACCCAGGTATCCCTGTTTTTGATTTAATTATCCATGCCCATGCCCTGACAGAATTTTAGTCATTTTTGGGTGGGTTTAGGGTTTGTATAGTTTTAAAGTATCACAGGTAATTCTGACAAATTCCTCAATGAAAACACTCCTTTGTTACTTTCCCACCACCCTCATTGGAAAAAAGAATATTCTGCTAAGAAAGATAGCAAAACCCTAAACAGATCTTCCCTAGTCTTATGGTAGACACTTTTTTTTTTTTGGCATAGAAGCAAAGTAGAAAGTTACAATATTGTGGTTTTAAATACTTTAATTCAAGATATTTTAAGCCATTCCTAGTGATGTCCTATCAAAACGTGCTATAAGTTATTGTTTGCATATTATAAATCTAGATAGAAGAGGAGTTATGGGAAGAAGAATTTATTGAACGCTGTTTCCAAGAAATGCTGGAAGAAGAAGAAGAACATGAGTGGTTTATTCCAGCTCGAGATCTCCCACAAACTATGGACCAAATCCAAGACCAATTTAATGACCTTGTTATCAATGATGGCTCTTCTCTGGAAGATCTTGTGGTAAAGTTATTTTTCATCTTATTAAAACTAGCTCATCTTTCCCATAAGATGGGAAAGCCAGCAATCATCTGTTTAAGAAGAATTATACATTCTTCCCCTTCGGAAATTGTACTGCTTACTATGGACACAGGGGCCCCCCAGTCTCACTTATGACATGGAATGACTTCCGACAACACTCTGGGGCTAGTTTCAGACTAACAGACTTCTTGCCACTGCTTTTAGTTTTAAGAACTGTGTTGCCCTAGAATATGAGGATGTCTTAAAGCATTAATCCAAAGGAAGTACACAGTATGTTCATGTGACTTGCCTATACAAAAGTAGCATGATGAAGAAGTTTTGCTCTTCATTTTGCCTTAAACATTTGGCAAAGTTTGCAGATTTTTATCTGAAAGGTGATAATTTGGAGTGTTGTTTTTTTTTCTGACCCAAGATTTTCATTGAGTTTGCCTAATAATTTCCTTTTGAACTGGGATTTAACGGACTTCCACAAGCTCTTGACAGAAAAAGAACACAAACCTATTTGCATTTTTAGCTACTCTCCGTGTCTCATTGTTGGGGTGGTATATTTGCAGTAAAAGGTTTTTTAGGAATTATGATAAACATCAGCACTAGAGTAGAACCTAATGAGTTGTTTACTAAAATTAAGATAAATGATTTGAAGTCATAATGTTGACCTTTCTGTCCATATTGACAATCTCTAATTGTTTATACAGGATAGTTCTCTAGAATTTACTCCTAGACTCCGAAGTATTTTTTGCAGTTCTCTTTCACTGTGTAGTGATTTCCTACCCTGGCGATAAAAACAAAAATTAGTCCTTCAGCTACATCCCAGACTTGCAGAATCAGTTGTCTAGGCATGTAAATTTTTAAAAAAACTTCATAGAGCGTACTGCCAGCTTGCCCATCAGGCATTTGGGAACCATTCTTCTAAAAGGCTATGTGGAGAACACTGAAATTTACATTGTAGTATAGACTTGTTGCAGTAAATTACAGTCCAGTTGAGCAGATGTGTGATCTGAATAGTCTTTTGAGATAAACTTACTTATGGCTGCATTAGTCATTCCACAATAATCCTGCTTGCTCTGATAAGTAAAATCCTTTGCTGGTCATAATGTATAACTTTAATGTGGACCCAGTATAATTGTCTAGAAAGGGATTTATTCAACTCAGTCTATTTGAGATTGTTCTTTCCTTCTCATTATTTTGTAGCTGACAAAAGATAACACATTCAAGAACGCTGCTTTTTTATTTAAACCTCACACTTTTAAAGTTTAGATACAATTCCCTTGAGAAAAGTGAGAATATGTCCTGTCCATGGAAACAGTTGTATATATATTAGGAAACTAAAGTTAAATTATTGCCCCAACATGTTACTTAATATGCTTTAGTCTTGAAGTAAGTGATATAGGGGTACAGATTTTATCTAAAAGCTTATTAGCATTCCTACATTTCAGGGCCTGGAATACATCTTGATTTCTTTTCATCTTTTATCAACTATGGTGGAGTCAAATCTCCAGCTATTCTCAGTATGGTGACATATCTGCCTAGCAAAGTAAAGATTTAGAGGTATAGAAGAGTGGTTCTTAGAGACTTTGACCCATTCTTCCCCTAACTTAGACAAAAATAAAGTCCCAGAGAGAGTGACTTATCCAGGCTTTCATAGGAAATTAGTTAGGAGCAGAACTGGAATTCCATCTTAGGTCTTCTGATTCCACATGTAGTTTTCTTTTCCTGTTATAAACCTTGCTTCCTGTGGGAATTAGAATACAGCAATCTTATGAAGACAACTCCATATTTTGAATGAGGATCTTGAACAAAACTCTAATGCATAAACAGTTCCCCAATCTACTTTGTCATTTCAACGTTAAGTATTTTTGCATAGTATGAAACAGTTAAAATCAAACATCATACTTAAATGAACAGAATTCATTATTCTATGACTCCTTTTTAACTTGTGTAAAGTTAGTGGGTTTCTGGTTACACTTGAGCAAGTTTAATTTCAATTCCTGTTTTACCTATAGAAGGTGATAAGTTTTCATATAAATATATAATTTATATCTGGTTCCTTCTTTCCTTGCTATAGATAGATTTTTGGGGGTTAAGTTTAACCTTACAAGCTGAGTTCTTTTATCTTACATTCTTTGGAAGATATTTTTGCATGTGGATCTGGGTTGAATGCTTCTGAGTATCTGAAACCATCTGTTAATGAACTTGCTTTTTTTATGTACTTATTTTCCAGGTCAAGAGCAATCTGAATCCAAATGCAAAGGAGTTTGTTCCTGGGGTGAAGTACTAAAATATTTGAGTAGACGGGGCCCTCTTTTGGTGGATGTAGCACAATTTCCACACTGTGAAGGCAGTATTAGAAGACTTAATTGTAAAAGCTCTCTCTTGTCACTGTGTTACACTTATGCATTGCCAAAGTTTTGTTAGTCTTGCATGCTTAATAAAAGTGCTGAGACTGTTATTAAGTAATAAGCTGTCAAACATTTACTGAAAGTAGAATTGGCCCCATGGCTTGATGTGAAGACAGCGAGGAAAGAAGCACCAGTCAAGTTGTGACAAAGCCCAAATTAAAATGACCTCTAAATCTTAGTGAATTGTCTTTTTTTGAGGATAAACTAGTCCCTTAGGGTTAGCAAAAACTTGTTAATAATGTCTAAACCTTTTTTAAATGAGTACATTTAAATTAAGTTTTAGTTAGGCATATTTCTCAGTTTAGACTTAAATTTGCATTTGTAACTATCAAAAACAATCTCCTTTTTCTGAAGAAGGCCTTGTTAGTTAATTTGAAATAATTCAGTATAGACGAGTATGTCTGGTTACTGAGGTTATAAGGTAGTAATGAGATGAGAACTAGTCCTGGCTTCAATGGTATATAATCACATAAGACATAGTGAATTCTTCTAGTGTTACAACTGAGGAAGTATGTAATTTGAGAATTGCATCTTCTAAGCAGTCACTGCATCATAGCTATGCCTTTGTGAAGTGTAACATTTGACCCACCACAATCCAACCGAACAAAGTAATGGTAACATGATTTGAGTGGTGCTTTTCCTTGCTTTGTTAACCATCACTACAATAGTCTACAGCACAACTTTTCTTTTAACAAAGCTAGAACAGTTTTGGCTTCTTAAACTTCATACTTGAGTAGGTTAAGCTGCCATACGTGTTCAGTGTGAATAGTGTTTAAGTTGAAAATATTGTAAAAAAATTATATTTTTTCAAAAATATTTAAAAAAATAAATAATAGTAGAACTCAGCTGATGCTTGTGTTTATTGGTGCTGGAATGCAGACTCTCCTGTGGTGATTGATACTCACTTTAATGTGGGCTCAGTACTTCAGGACAACCCTGCTGGCAAGATTTGCTAAGAGAGCAGGCTTTATTCGATTCCATAGTGTCAAGTAGGTCATTATGCATGTATCTGTCCAAAATACAGTAGTAAAATAAACCCCATATCCCATTCCATAACCCACTTTGATTGCCTCAGGCTGTAGTGTCAGGGCAGTTGTAGATACCCGTGTTAGGAAACTTTTTGGTTGATCAATATAATGGTAACCTTACTCTGGTATAATTTCCATTGGGTTCTGCCCTTTACAAGCCATTGCTGGACTGATTTGATATTTTGATTCACCTGGGTCATCTCTGTTTTCCCCTCACACAAGCTTATTTATAATACGATTGTGGCTAGTCTTTATTTTGGGATAGGCTGTCAACCAACTAGCAATTCCCTGGTTCTACATAAAATTCTGCCTCATGGCCCTTCTCAGTTCTTGATACTGTCCTCTGTGCTTTTCTTGAGTTTGTTGGGCTCAAAATTAAAAAGGCCATGTAGTCTATTCTGGCTCACATTCTCCATGGGGGTGGGGGGGAGCTTTAGTATGCCCAGGTGCCCCAGTGTTTTTTAATAGCTCCCTTAAAAGACGATAAACAGGTAGGGTTTTTGTTGTTTTAGTCATCTTGGAGTGCCTAGCTAGCTCAGTCAGTAGAGCATGTGACTCTTGATCTTGGGGTCATCAGTTCAGGCTTCAGGCTAATGACCCCAAGATCAAGAATCTAATGCTCTATTGACTGAGCCAGCCAGGCACCCCAAAATAGGTAGATTTTTAGGAAACTCTAAAGCAGAGATAATCCTACTTGGCTCTCTTTCTTTTTGGAGCCATGATACAGCCAGTCAGTCCCCTCTGTCTCTAACAACTAAGTACCACAAGTGGCAGAGCAGGGTGCCAAATGTGTGAAGCTTACAGATCCTCTAAGTTCAGATAGGGATAAATGAGTTAATTTCCACATACTGCCAAATTACCATAATGTAGTATAATTGGAGATTATAAATTTGAATTAAAGAGGCATTGTAACCTAATGATAAAGAGCATAGGCTAGCCAGACTTCTTAGTTGTGAGTCCAGTGATCATGGACAAGTCACTTAATCTCTCTGTGCCTTAGTTTTCACCTGTTTAAGATGGTAGTATTAATAGGGGCACCTGGCTGGCTCAGTCAGAAGAGCGTGTGTCTCTTGATCTCAGGGTCGTGAGTTTGAGCCCCAGGCTGGGTGTAGAGATGACTAAAAAAAATAAAAATTTAAAAATAAAATAAAATGGCAATACTAATTGTCTCAGGATTGTGTGATTAGTTAATACACATCAATGGGACGCCTGGGTGGCTCAGCGGTTGAGCGTCTGCCTTCAGCTCAGGGCATGATTCCAGAGTCTTGGGATCGAGTCCCACATCGGGCTTCCTGCATGGAGCCTGCTTCTCTCTCTGCCTGTGTCTCTCATGAATAAATAAGTAAAATCTTTAAAAAAAAATTAATAATTAATACACATCAAGCACTTAAGACAGTCCTTGACACATAGAAAGTTCTGTTTAAGTGATTGTTCTAGGTTTGGCTTTCATTTTGTTGGAACCTTGGTTGTCAGGGAAACTGCATATTACAACTGCTTAGTTGTTTAACTGGAGAGTCAGGCATCTGCATTACAGGTAGAGATGGCACGTTTCAGAGCATCAGCTATTGCTTTTTTTTTTTTTTTATCTGTTATTCTTTGGGGACACCTGGGTGGCTCAGTGGTTGAGCATCTGCCTTTGGCTCAGGTCGTGATCCCAGGGTCCTGGAATTGAGTTCTGCATCAGGCTCCCCGTGGGGAGCCTGCTTCTCCCTCTGCGTGTCTCTGCCTCTCTGTTTCTTTCACGTATAAATAAATAAATAAAATCTTTTTAAAAAACAATAGGTTTTTTTTTAACGACTTTATTTATTTGACAGAGAGGGAGAGAGCAAAAAAAGCAAAGGGAGTAGCAGAGGAAAAGGGAGCTTGATGCAGGGCTCAATCCCATGACCCTAGGATCAGGACCTGAGCCGAAGCTAGATGCTTAACCTGACTCAGCCATCCGGGTGCCCCAGCTATTCAATTTTGATGTCATTTAAACAGATCCTCCCATCAGGGCCTATGTCGCACAACTTACGGTAATCGAAGTCATCCTGTTTTGCTTTTAGGAGTTTTTGTTACCACTATTGAAACAAGGCAGCATATGTAAGAGAATTTTCCCTGTTTTTGTGCAGTGTCAGTAATTCTCAATCTATTTCATGTCATAAAGTGTGAGGTTTTGGGGAGGGGGGCTTATTTTTAGCATACTGAATTGCAAAGATAGGGCTACCTATGGCTAGAGTTTGTCTCATATGGGCTACAATTTCATGCCTAGATACTCGGAAAGCTGAAGGGATCCATATGTCAGCATACTTGTAACCTCAGTGACACACAACAGTTGAAAAGTTCTACCCTCATTATGAAATAGCTAAGGAGTTACACTCACACCTTTCCCTTGAAGAGTCAAATAAGTCACAAAAATGGAAACTGAGTGGTTTTGATTTTCTTTGTTTAAAGAATATTGTGACTTTTCAACCCTTCCACAAAAGACAGTCTTAACGTATGTCCTACCTTTCCTAGGAGTAATTTTTCAGACTTTGGTGCATGCAGATCCAGTTTGTATATTTTCTGGAGGGTCTTCTGGAACTGGAAGCTGGGCTTTTGACCTTGAGGAAAATCCTTTGAAGATGGGGCAGATAGGAATGTATTTCAGAAAGGCAGTCCTTTTTACTATGCTCATCCCAATGGGGAAGTCATAGCTCTTGAGGCTCGTAGACATCTCACTGTTGGCATGGGCCCCAGCCTTCCACTGTATCAGACCTCGTTCCTCTAGGCTTCCTGCAATAGGACAGTGAGATTAGCAGGGCCAGCAGCCCTCCACTACCTCCCCTCCATACCTCTATAACCTTGTCCTGAAACAGATTTCTGGAATCCATTGTCTTCATTCTCAAGTATTTTCTGGGACTGAGAGGTTACTGAATCCATGATATCTCGGCTCTTAACTTGGCCAGAGCTCTAGGAAACCCTAAAAGTTGCTGGTTATAATTAGTATCTGTTGTGTATCTAGAGTGTGCCAGGCTCTGTGCTAAGTGCTTTAATTTCATTATTTCATTTCTTCAAAAAATATGAAGAAACTGGCAGAAAGGTTAAGTAATTGTCAGCTTACATCTTTAGTATCGGGGTAACATGCTAAGCTGATGAGGGAGGACCTAACTGTGTCCAGTCTCTGCTTTGGGAGCAGGGAGAAATATTTAGAAACACTGTAATCAGTACTAATATTTGAATATTAGGGTTCCATATTAGGAAAATAAACTTTTTGTAATACAGACCGCAAGAAGTCAAGCCAAGTAAAATCTTTGTTGGAAGTATGGATATACAAAATATATTTACATCTAGGGGAATGTTCCCTCGGGAGGTGGAGGGGTGCGTGAGGTCTCAGGATCTCACAAGAGGGCTGGGGTGAAAGAAGACTGATGGAGCATTTGCTAAACTAATTTGCCCTTCTGTGTTTGGGCTGTAGATGAGGAAAGAGCAAATGCAAAGCACCCTGTTAGCAAAATGCCCATCACACAGAAGAAAGTGTGATTGCATGGATAAGGAGTTAGCTAGACCTGAGTGTGAATTCAGGTTGTATGACCTTAGGCAAGTGATTTGACCACTCTGAACTTCAGATTCCTCATCAATGTACATTGAAGGACTACTGAGGATTATGTAGCATAACATACATGATTCCTAGCAGAGATGGTTGCTGATAGGTAGTTGGGTTGAAGGACAGGGGTGTGAGGAACTCAGGACAGTCTGAGGTTGTTAACATCTGGGTAGCTTAATCCAGCTTTCCAAATCACAAGCCCCTGTATATACAGCTGTCCACCTGATGCCCTCCATCTCCCCAAGTTCCCTGGGTATTGTGGCTGCCATTTGTCTGGTCCACAACCTGGTTTCCTCTAAGCAGAGAGGGGCGGGTACCTCCCATTTGCCCAAGGGGTAGCTGGTACCAAGAGTTCTCTCATCGTCTGATGCTAAAATCCCTAAAAGGACCATGGCACCTAGGCCCTTCCTGCCCATGCTTCAACCCTGCAGCTGTATTTGGTGGGGGGTGGAGGGCCATCATCCTGCTGCTTCCATCCCTAATTGCCCTGGACTGATGCAGTCTTTAACCTCTGCCTCCACAGAGCTTTCCCTGATCTCCCAGGTCCTCTGAAAACCTCCAACAGGCTGTATGGTACAGTGGCTGGGACACAAACCATAGACTGCATCCAATGGACTTTGTTAAAATCCCAGATTTGCGACCTTTTAAATCCGCAAATGTTGTGAACTTTAGTGAGTCAGCCTCTCTGATTCTGTTTCCTTGTGAAATGGGGTTGATAGTCTCTGCCTAACAGGATACTTGTTGAGACTGAAGTGAGACATAGTGTCATGCCTGACCCACAGTAGATCTTTGGTAAATGTTAACTATGCTTGTTACTTGTTAGAGCAACTGGTGGCATTTAGTTTCTGTATTTTACAGGGCATGGGCCTGTCAGGTTCTCAAGGACCCATACAAAGTATCTTCCACAATCCCTGCAAAAAGCCGTTATACCAAAGGGAAATATTAGGGGCTCTCCTAGTAGCCAGTGTGACAGGTTGGTTGGCAAAACCCACTCCAAATATGCCAGCAAACTGATGCTTCATTTGTATCTGCCCTAATGTAAGAAAACAAAGGCTTCCAAAGGCACCACTCAACTTGATGACTATCAAGAAATAGGAAACAAGTCATGGGGCCCAAGGCCTGGGAATAACTCCTAGACTTGCTCTCTTGGAGACCTATGAGGCATGTCTGTGCTTCTGTCTAGCCAGTGGTCTCCTTCCAGCCTGTGGGCACTCTGCCAGCCCAACTGTTCCTGCTTCTTGCAGGGCCTGCA